TTAAAACGCAAGATTAAATGGATTCCCATTATGTTCCAGGAGGGGAAAGCTGTAATTTAGTTTCCTTGTGTTAGGTTTCTACTTTTTGTGATTTGTGTGTTTCTTTATAGGAAAATTTAGCCTCTGTTTTTGAGGAAAAAATATCTGTTTCTAGAAAATTGTTTTCCTTGAATTCTATCAAAAGTTGGCCCTTCTAAAGCCAAATGTTCTGGGTATCAGGTCCCAGCCAGGGCTCAATGTTGTTTCCATTGGAGTCAATGGCAAAATGCCAATGAACTTAAATGGGAGTAGCAGTGGTCCCAGCTCCCACAATTTTATCAAGAGTCTCATAACATTTGGTGTTTTCCCTAAAGCTCCAGCTCTTAGAGTCATGGGATTATGTGAGACATTTCAGCTTTCATTTTTGAAAGAAGTAAGTTTCTAGCCTTAATGGTAGCATAGAAAAGGTTGAAAATGGAAACCCTAAAAGTTCAAAAAAACCTGAAGGCAAATAAAAAGAATACAAGCGATACTCTTTTTTTAAAATCTCATGATTTTTAGGACAATCTTATGATTTGTTATGGAGGACCTGACTCATGATTTTGGAAAAGCCTTAAGGTTGGCAATATTGGAGCAGGTTCAGGTGCTGTTGTTCTGATTCAGCAAAGCATTTAGGCACATGGTTTCAATAGGAGTTAAGCACATGCTTAAAATTAAACATATGCTCAAGGGCTTTGCTAAAATGGGACCTAAATTACTAGTATCTTTAGACCCTAATCCTGCTATAGGAACTGTTTGGGCAAACCTTAATGCCTGCATGAATCCCTGTGCAGGATCAGGGCCTAAATTATTAAAACCGGAAGAATTTTAAAGATCTAATTTGCTTTTCACTGATTATACTATTTGTTTAATTTACCTTTCTCTCAGTTGAGACAATGAGAGTAGACTAAACCATCTTCACTTCGTTTTGCAGCTTTTCATGTTATCATGCAATAGTGCAATGCTGCAATATCTGATTTGCATGCATGGCATGGGAATGTTTATTTGTTTTTAAAATCTTTGCCTTTAGATTTTTTTTAAAAAAAAGAGAAAGTTTTCCATCAATGTTAAGATTTACAAAAGTTTAGTTTACAAAAAGGACATTTTTGGACAAATTTGACCTGACTGTGTCCCTTTAAATTTTGCATCCCTGACCTTTTTGTGTTCAGTTCACAATGGTAACATTCATTTAGTTTTTGCATAAGATTTATATTAGGGCCTAATCCTGAGAGGGCCTAATCCTAATCCCAGTTTTTAGGGTCTGATCATTCTTCAACTGACATCAGTGGGTACAGGATCTGGGCTAGAAATATATCCTTCTTAAGAAAGTAATTTTTTAACACAAAAATTAAAGAAATGAGCTACATTTCAATATCACAACAAATCATGGGTCAGACCCTCTGCTGATATAAATATGCTGATTTACATTAGCTGAGGCTCTCACCCCATGTTGAGAAACCCGAGTAGCAGTAGCAAACCATCAGGAATAGGCTCACATATATTAATACCTCATAAAAGAGAACAAACTGTTCTTCAGAAAGAAGAAAAATTGCACATCCTTGTGTGAGCGAGTTAAGTGTCCGTTACCTATATACAATTTCACTAGGGTGAAGATTCTAAAGGCAAGAAAAGAGCACTACGAAAATAAAGCTTTAAAAAAAAATCCACTGTCAGTAATACTAGCAATGCAGACAGTGTAGCTGAATATACTTCGACATGTAAAACTTGTGTTGTTTAATATTTCATTGAATATTACTGCTTTGATTATCTCAGAGAGTTGTTAATATTAGAAAATTAAATCTGCTGTTTATATAAAGGCTAACTCCCTCTGTCCCTCTCCAGGAATTAGTTTTGAGCCAGGACAATTACTAGCTCTGATGGTGGAAGGTTTCTCTGCCACTACTGTTGCTCAACAACAATGAAAAAACCTTCCTTACTAAAAGAATTGCACTAACTGTGCTAGAGAATAAATGTTGGGTCTGTGAACTTTAATTGGCTCCTTTTCATCATAAGGGAGCAACCCCTTCACACAGTGATCTCAGTGCCTGCAAGAGGTGCAGATGTGGATGAAAAGCAGCGCGCGCCCTCTCTCTCAAGCTTAACCCACATAAGATGGGGGTGATGTTAGTAGCAAGAGAGAAAAACATTTTAATAATAACATTTAGCATCCATACACTGCTCCTACTCTGTAGATCTCAAAGTGCTTCACACAGAAGGGGAAGCATTATTATTCCCATTTCCTGACGGGGAAACCAAGGCATAGGGACGTTAAATGACTTGCCCATGGTCAACGATAATCAATAGCAGATCTGGTAACACAACTCAGATCTCCTGATCCTCAATTCAGTGCTCTGTCTACTGAACCGCTCTGTCTATTGAACCACACTGTCTTGAGGAACCAGTTAGATTCTGAGTGAAGCCTCAATCTACTCCCACCTCCCTCCAGTTGTTAAAGTAGCATACAGTGTCTAGTCTCAGAGTCCAGCTCGTCTCATCATTGCTTCTAGATACTCACAGAGCAAAAGTGATAAGAAATGCCTCTTCCCACCTTTGATTTGCCAAGAGATGGTGCCCATTTTTCAGATAATAACCTATTCGCTGTGGTCCAATCTTTTGTTGCCTCCCAGTTGGCCTGCTGCAATACTATCCAACGCTGAAGGTGGTGAAACCTACACAGGAACTGCAGGTTGTACAACATAAATGCTGTGCTCAGATACCATGGTGATGGGCATCCCTATAAACCCCTAAGGCCTGGTCTACGCTACAGAGTTAGGTCAACGTAAAGCAGCTTATGTTGACCTAACTCTGTAAGTGTCTACACTAAAATGTAGCTCCTACTGGTATAACTCACCCACTACATGATTTAATAACTCCACCTCTGTAGGAGTCATAGCACTTAGGTCAACATATTTAGGTTGACACAGTGTCAGTGTAGACACTGCATTGCTCACATTGATTGTTGCTGCCTTTCAGAAGCCGTCCCACAATGCCCCACATAAAAGTTAAATCGGTGTGAGCGCTTCTGGTGAGGACGCGCACCGCTGACACAAGAAGCGTAGTGTAGACATGTACAAGTGATTCAATTACTGCAGTGGCTGTATGTTGACGTAACTGAGGTTGACTTAATTCTGTAGCGTAGAGTTGCTCTGAGATAGATACTGTTTAAGCAAGAAAACCTTCCAAGAGCACATCACATGACGATCTCGCTATTCACTTCTGACTATGATTCAAGATCCAGATCCTGATTTTTAAGGCCTTTCATGGGATAGAGCGAAGTTATCTTAGAGACGCTGGGCCAAATTCTGGCCCTTGTTCTTGCCCCTTTATATCACTCCAGCCCCAAATGGGCTGTAAAGGGATCGAAGCAACCCCTCAGGGAATTTCTCCATCTCAGCAGAGGTACAGGCACAGTCCTGTACAGTGCCCCCTTGCAGCCCTTGGCATTGGGGTGTGCTGTAGGTGGCAACCCATAGGCAGCTGGGTAGTGCTGCTGTTAGTTAGAGCAGTTCATGGGTCTTCTCAAACTTACACCAACGGCCACATCACTCTTTGGAGCAGCCCAACAGCTGGCACAAAAGCCACAATTGTCGCAGTCCCTCTACGCTGTCAGGTTCTTGAGATGCACAGCTCAGGCTCTGACCCTGCCACTCCAGTCACAATACCCTGGGACAGCAGCGCTCAGTAGGCACAGTGCAGCTGATGGAGCCCGGAGCAAAATGGGACAATATGCTCCCAGGGAAAGGCCTCTGACTCTGGAACTCTGGGTGGGAGGGGATCAGATCACTAACCCCCTACGCCTGACCATGTTCAGAGCAGGATGCAACCCCACCTGGTTAGAGGAGACTCAGCAATAACAAAGACTGAACAAATGGAAGGGGAAAAAAAGACCTGACATTAGAATGCCTGAACATGGGAGTGATAACAGCAGGGTCCCTTATGGACAATTTGCATGGGACTTATATGGGGGAATGGCACGTCTGAGTAAATTGCAGCCCTGCTCCCCATCCCAGGTTGCCCTGCTAGTCCTGAAAGTGGGCCGGAGTCACTAACTTTAATCAAAATGGTCGCTGTGCACTAGCGTTCTGACTTCGGTCTGGGAGGAAGAAGGTCGACCCGTCTCCTCACATGCCCCAATACCATAGCTGGGAGAGTGTGGGCTGGTGCAGATGTGTGCGCACAGTGTGGATGTGGACTCAGAGGTCTATGTGCCCGGAGTCTCCTTAAGCACTAAGGGTGAAATCCTGGCCCTACTGAAGTCAACGGGAGTTTTGTTAGGATTTCACCCCACGTGTTGGGCACAAACCAGTTTGCGCCCACCCCCCGTAAGCTAAAGCAAGCTTGACCCGTAAGTCAATCACTTTCAAATGCTTGTTCCCTAGCTCACTCAGAATAGAATTTGGAGGTTGGCGCCAGCAGACAAAGTAGAGCGGTGTGCTAAAAGAAAGCCCTGGTTTGCAATCTTTACACAAGCAGAAGTCCCCCTGAAATCAACGGAAGACTAAGCCCGTAGTACTCTGGACTTTTTTTTAATGTTATCCATTCATTGGATATATTTAATCATTAACTTCATATTAACCCTTGATTTTAGTGCTCTCAATGGCTAGAATGTGCTTTCATAGCTTCCTTTCAAGGCCTTTTCCTAGCTTTCATTTTAAAGTCAATCACATCTTATGCCCTGAGATTTTCGTGCAGCTGTGGGAGGAAAAAAGAGACAGAGAAGGCAAAGATCCTTTAATAGTACTGGAGACCTTAAAGAGTGTCCTTGAAATAAATAAATAATGTCACTTAAAAAAATAAGGGGGGAAAAGTCATCTTTCTGAATGAGGCCTGTTCCCAGATTGTGAGGATGAAATAATTAAAACGTGCACATGCATAATTGTGTTCTACCTTTAAACTTGCGAAGATTTCTTACTTTTGCTCGTGTTCTATCTCCTTTACATGACTGACTGGCTTCCATCCCTACTCCGTGTATCCTTGGAAAGGAGAAACAGCAGAACTGAGGCCAACCTTACTCCCAGGTTCCTTGGCAAGAGAGAGTTTTCTGATGAGGGGAGTGCAGAGCGTACGCCTTACCGAAGTAGGCGAACACCTCAGATCTACTACTCTATTAAATTGGCTGGTGCTGCCTTGGATTTTGTTTCCAGTCATCCTTCTCTTTAGCTGATGTGGCCACTCCTAGTTTGTCTTTGCTTTGATAGAAAAAAACCAGCAAATATTCAGGTGACTCCCATGTATTCTGAATATCTGAAAGAACTTATTCAAGTTATGCTTGTGTTCTCTCGTGTGTTCCGACAATCAGCTGATCTCATTGATCACAATGCTTTCGAGGTTCCCCAAAATTTGGCTGGGTAAACACAGATGTTCTACATTTTCTAATCGCTTGTAGTTCTTACTGGGCACCCCAATTTTCCAAACAATTTCTTAAATCTATTTCCTTATTTCTTCCCCCTCCCACCTGCCATTTCCCCCTCTCTATTATTTCTTGTGCACAAATGTTTAAGTAACAAATATTTTAACTGGCATGGACCAAATCCTTACTCAGTCAAACTCATACTTGATGGATCCTCTTGTTATAGGGAGGCCCCTGAACTGATCTCTGGCAGTGGATGGGGGAATCATGAGTGGCTCTGGGGGAACTGCTGTTAAGGGTGCATGTGTGGGTCTGTGTCTTCTCATTTTTCTGACCACTTTGTGCCAGCTTTCTTCAGCTGAGCTGGCTCCCCTGCTTATCTGCTAGTACATCTTCTACTCCACAATAGCAGTAGCCACTCAGGGGAAATGGGTGGAATATATGGGCAGAGGGAGGTGGACTAGGCCTCCTGTCCACCTTCAACAGCAGCCTCCTTCTTGGGTTAAAGAGGGAAGGGAAAGGAGAGGGGAACTTGGATTAAGGGAGAGGGAGTGAGAAGGCACAATAAGGGAATGCACCTCAGATATGAGGAGGAAGCAGGATGGATCTCAGTTGGGAGAGAAAACTCAGTGGAGTGGCCACAGTGGGGAGCAAAGGAGGAAGTGGGTTTGTTGAGAGGAGGGTGAAGGAAAAGAGGAACGTGAGGGAGACTCCTTGGAAACTAGAGAAGAGCCAAAGGAGGTGAGGGGAAGAGAGGTCAAGGACAACATAATATGAGGGAGAGCAAGGATGATTGTAAGCAACTTGAGATAGCGACCGTGTCTTCCTTGTGCAGTGTCAAGCACACTGTCAGCGCTTAATCAGTAATGACAGGGGAATCAAGGATGAGGGGACCAAAGGATGAAGGGAAAGGAGAGGCTGCTTTCAAGGAGAAGACCCAACAAGAGGAGCTGTAGGGAGAGGGAATAAGAGAGAAAACAGAATGTGAACATGAAAAAATACATGAAATGGAGATGATAGAATAAATCAGAGATGGGAGGAGAGAAAAAACAGGTTAAAGAAATGAAAGGTGGAAAAAATCTAGGAAACATTACTAAGCTTGATTTAATGTATTTATGCTTCTATATGTTACTGCATTTCATTCTCAGGGGGTCTCTGTCAGGGTAAGCTTAGATGGGAACCACCATTCTGAGCGCTTATGATATTTATATTGGTGCCTATGCTGAATTCTATCATTAAGTAGCTGGAGAAAAAGTCAGGGAAAAAAGCTAAATTGCACCAGATTGTACTCCAAACATGCTGGGGGCCTAGCAGCTATTCAGACCACGGGCTTATTGGGGAATTGTGTCTGAAAATCCTTTTCAAACGTTGGCAGCTGTATGTGCTGCTTCCAGTGCCAGCAGATGAAATGCACTTCTCCTACCACAGAGGAGGCTGGGAGTAGCCTAAGGAGTCTCCCCTGTGTTATTTAAAAAGAATCTTTTAATTTGGAGGGATGCAAAAGGCTTGTGGGCTCCTGTGATGGGGTGTACAAACCTCACACTAGGCAACAAGGGGTTAAGGGATCATTTTGGGCTCAGTCAGCTCTGCCCTGCCACACCTGCAGCAAATGTTCCATCTGCTGGAGGAATTGAAAGGCAGGGAATTAACTCCTTTGGGTGACAGAGTTGGAGGTGGGCAGACCTGCCCCCTACAATTTGAGCGGAGCAGAGGGAAACCTAAAGGTTCTGACACCACTGCCTAAAAGGGGCTCTCCTTGAGGGAAAGGAGGCTCCACTACAGAGACAACCAGAGAGGGCAGTATCCTGTGACCTTGGACATTGGTATCTTCCTCTTATTTCTTTTGGTTTGGCTTTCCTCACCAGGCAAGGCCTTGGGCTAAGCTGACCCCAGCGGGGGAGACAAGAGGAAGAAGCCCAGGGAGGACAGTCTTAATCGGTCTTGGTTGCCAGATTACTGGTAGCCCAAAGAGCCCTGGGTCTGAGCCCAGTGGAGTGGGAGGGCCTGGGCTCCCCTCCTCACAACCCCCTTGGCAGTCCAGGGTTGTGGTGTGACCACTAGGCCACACTTCCCAAACAGACCCTGAGTGAGGACTGTTACAAAAGAATCCCCTCATAATTCTGACACTGGTTGAGTGTATCCCACTGTTCAGTTTTGTGTCCCCCTCTCAGCCTGGCCTACAAAGGATAAGAGCCTACTCCTGCTCCCATGAATGGAGCTAGTCCTTTAGTTCACTCTGTAGCAGCTTATGAACCACAGACTTGCAGAGCTCAGACCAATCCCCATGATGACAGTTGTTACAGAGACTTATATCCTCTGCACTGGAGGGCCCAGGTTCAAATGCTAGTGATGACCAAGAATACTGTCTTTACATGGGCATTTTGGTGCTCACCAGAGATAGAAACAGAAAGAGAGAAGAAAAATGCAGGTGTAAAATGTATGCTTCTGTCCTGCAAAGCTGGCTGCATATTAACAAAATGCTTTGGTAATAAAGGGGAAAGAATTACTAATTAATCTCTCTCCTTTTTGTTTTCTCTGGAGGAGGCTTCTATTTGTATACCCTCATTAGTGAGACTAGGTACAGGTGTATACCATCTGGAGCATATCTAATTAAATTAGGTGTAAGCAGTGTCAGGATGAGCTCCACCCTGACATCTGGTGGTGAGGTGTGGCAAGTTGTGGAAAAGAACTTCAGGGGCCGATCTCATTTGCATAGGCACACCCACCCCACCTAGAATGAGACCATAGCTGCCCAAATGGTCACTTTGGCTGCTGTGGGGTCCCCAGTGTCTCTGTTATTGGGGCAGGAAGAATAAATTGTTATTACCCTGATTATGGGAACTGTGCTTGGAACTGTACGTGGCCTTTTGTTATGATGGAGGGATTCACCATCAACTAAGTAGCACTCGCTAGGCAAGGGTCATGGGTTCCAAAACTGCGTGAATGGAGAGAGGCTGGGGACAAGTATTAATACTTGGTGGCATGGGCCCCTTGGTGAGGGCCTTACATGCTAATTGCACTTCCTCCTCTCTCCACTGTGGAATATCAGAGCTAATTTTGATTTCATTAGAAGTCTAGTTATAGGCTGCTGAGCTCACTTTGGGCTGACAGTGCACCAGCACTGGGGCTTCCCTACTACAAGCTGAATTCACCTAAGAGCTGAAATCACTGAGTGTTGTGTTAAGTAGTGGGGGAGCCTGAAGATATATTGTGGAGCAGTTTGCGGGACGGCTGGTGAAGCAGTTCGACGCGGAGCAGTGTGTGGATGGCAGAAGCGGCTTGTGGGCCGTGGAGCTGAGCGAAGGAGTTCGTGGGGCGGCTGGCGGAGCAGAGCGCAGCTGAGTGAAGGAGTTCGTGGGGCGGCTGGCGGAGTGGAGCGGAGCGAAGGAGTTCGTGGGGCGGCTGGCGGAGCGGAGTGGAGCGAAGGAGTTTGTGGGGTGGCTGGCGGAGCGGAGTGCCGCTATGGAGCTATGGGGCAGTCAGCTTCAGATCACGTAAGGTGCCTCTTACCCCCGTCCCATTTCCACCCAGGTTGGGAGGTAAAGCTCCGCAGATAAACTTTCGAACTCTGGGGCTGCCCTGACCAGGGACAGAGACTTTTGGGGCATTGGACTTTTGGGACTTTGGGTGATTTGGGGTTGCTGGACTCAAGAACCAAAGGGTATGCCCCAATTTGCCTGGGGTGGGTTCTTTTTTTTTTGCTCATGGGTTGTGTTATGAATCCTGTTGGTGGTGTTTCCCCAACATAATGCCACATTGTTTCTCTCTGTTATTAAAAGGCTTTTGCTACACTCAGACTATGTGCTTGCGAGAGGGGAAGTATTGCCTCTTGGAGGCGCCCAGCGGGGGTGGTATATATTTGTCCCAGGTCACTGGGTGGGGGCTCGAGCCGGTTTGCATTGTGTTATTGGAATGGAACCCCTAGATATTGAACCCGGCCCTTGTTGCTGCCAACTCTGACGGGCAGAAGGGTTACATTTTTGGGGGCTCGTCCGGGATCGCCTGGGTCAGTACCCCTCGCAAGCACCTGTTGAGTGATCCACTACATTGGGAAACAATTTATATTTTTTTTGTTTGTGCTTATATTTTGAGGAAATTACTGTTTGTATAATGGCTAATATGTCAGGTTTGTTGGGCCCTGGCTCAGCAGCTTCTAGCTCAGAGGTTGCAGCCTCGGCTGATGATTGGACAAAAGCTCTGGGGCAAATATTGGAAAAGGTTGTGCTGCCCCATGCTGAGTCAGACTCTTGTCGTAAGTTAAGATTATTTGCTGGGGAGGAGGAGTTTGAACCCTGGTTAGAGCATACCACTGAAATGCTGCAAGAGTGGGCCGTACCAGATGCAGAAAAGCGAAGATGCCTTATAGAGAGCCTTGGCGGCCCAGCATTAGATGTGATTCGCACCCTGAAGCTCATTGACCCTGGGGTCAGTGTGAAGGACTGCCTAGAGGCCCTTGAACACAACTTTGGGAGCGTAGAGGGCCCTGAAGACAGCTACTGTAAGTTCCTTAATTCCCGACAACAAAAGGGCGAGAAGGCTTCAGCCTACATACAGAGACTGGAGAGACTGCTTCAGAGAGCTGTCATGAGGGGAGCAGTGACTGCTGAGCAGATGGATCAGATCAGACTGGCTCAAATTGTAAGAGGAACTCAGTATCAGAACCCGATTCTACTTCATCTCCAGCTAAGAGAACGACGGGAACATCCCCCAAGTTACTCCCAGCTGATAAAAGAGGTCCGAGAGGAGGAAGAAAGGCAGGCTGCCAGTGAGTTTTGGGAAGCCCAAACATCGGATCCAGCCAGCACAATACCACTGCAAACGGCCAGTGTACTGATGGTGAGCACCAGAGAGGAACTTGCCCAACAAATGCAGGTCCTGACAGAACGGATAGCTGAGCTGCAAAGTACCGTTGACCGAGTTAAGACTTCCAGGAATAAGAAGCCTCAAACTGTGGCGATTGAGAAGCCCGCACTTAGAGCCACCATCCCCCCCAGGCGAAGGGGGAAAAGGTCAATTCTTCTGCTACCGATGTGGTCAGGATGGACACAGTGCTGCCAAGTGCCGTAATGAAGAAAACCCCTCCTTAGTGTATGGAAAGCTGAGGATCAGTTGGGAGAGATCCGGTAGCTACCAAAGGGTCTGGGGACGGGGACCCCCCAGGTCTGCAGGATTTGAAGATTCCCCCAGAAAAGACTGTCCAGCTGGGATCCCTGCAGGACTGATAGGGCCTCGAGCAGAGGTCAAGGTGAGGATCGAAGGGGTGGAGTGTAAAGCAGTGCTTGACACTGGATCTCAAGTGACTATTATATTTCAGTCATTCTACCAACAGATGCTTAGGCACCTGCCTATACAGCCACTGACTGGCCTTGGCCTGTGTGGCCTCAGCATGGATGAATACCCCTACCAAGGGTATGTCATCGTGCACCTGGAATTCCCAGAGGAGGTTGCTGGGGTAAGAGAAGAGGTAGACACAGCTGCCTTAATATGCCCTGACCCTAAAGGGACTTCTGATGTGTCTGTGCTGATAGGGACCAACTCCAGTCTCTTCAAGGTACTGGCGGATTACTGCAGAAGGCAGGCTGGGGACCAATACCTGAATACCCTGATGATCCATACGCTTTGTGCTGAAGCCTATAGGAAAATTGAGAGCGCTAAAAGGGACACATCTGAGCTACCGCTTGGGGCACTGAAGTACGCGGGCACAACCCCCCTTAGTAGTGCCTGCAAGGACGGAGCAAGAAGTGCTTGTCATGAGTACCTGTCTGAAAGGCAGTAAAGGGACGTTAGCAATGATAGAGCAGCCAATGGGAGGAGAGCTCCCTGAAGGAGTGCTGGTCCCCAGTGGAGTCATAACCCTACCTGCTGAAGCCCAGGAAAGGGTGACTATACTGATTGCTAATGAAACGAGTTGTGATATTTTTGTGAAGCAAGGACAAAAGATAGCAGACCTCTTTGAGCCTGAGTCGATTGTAAAACCCCAGTGTGAAACTCAAGTTCCGACAATAGACCCAGCAAAGTTTGACTTTGGAGATTCACCAGTGTCCGAGGACTGGAAAGATCGCCTGAGGAAGAAACTTTGTGAAAGATCCAAGGTGTTCTCACTGCATGAGTGGGATGTGGGATGTGCAAAAGGAGTAGAGCACAATATCAGACTACATGACTCTCGACCTTTCAGGGAGAGATCTAGGAAGATTGCTCTCTCTGAGATGGAAGATGTGCGACATCATCTTCAGGAGCTGGCTGCGAATGGCATCATTACAGAGTCCCGCAGCCCATACGCCTCACCCATTGTGGTAGTCCGCAAAAAGAATGGGAAAATCCGGATGTGTATTGACTACCGCACCCTAAACAGCCGTACTGTGGTCGACCAGTACACTATGCCTCGAGTGCAAGACGCCTTAGACTGTTTGCTGGGAAGCCAGTGGTTCTCTGTGTTGGATCTTCGAAGGGGATACTACCAGATCCCTCTGGGAGAAGAAGATAAGGAGAAGACAGCCTTCATCTGCCCATTAGGGTTTTATCAGTTCGAACGCATGCCCCAAGGGATTTCTGGAGCACCTGCCACCTTTCAACGTCTCATGGAGAAAGTTGTGGGAGACATGAATTTACTGCAAGTGTTAGTTTATTTGGATGACCTGATTGTGTTTGGAAGAACCTTAGAGGAGCATGAAGAAAGACTTCTTAAAGTGCTTGATAGGTTGGAGGATTATGGTCTGAAGCTTTCAATTGACAAATGCCAGTTCTGCAGAACCTCAGTGAAGTATGTGGGTCACATTGTGTCCCAAGAAGGTGTGAGTACTGATCCTGATAAAATAGAAGCACTCACTACGTGGCCACGTCCAAGTAACTACAGAGAACTCAAGACCTTCCTTGGATTTAGTGGCTACTACCGCAGATTTGTGAAAAACTATGCTACGATTGTAAAGCCTCTGAATGATCTTACCAGGGGACATCAGTCCAGCAAGAACAAATCTAAGTCCAAGAATAAGGAGAGGTCCCCAAAGCCTCCTGTGCAGAGACACAATGGCCCCTTTGCACCATTTGGGCCACGGTGGGATGAGAGATGTGAAAGGGCTTTTCGAGAAATCATTACTTGCCTAACTCATGCTCCAGTCCTAGTTTTTGCTGACCCAAGCAAACCATTTATCCTGCATACTGATGCCAGTTTGGAGGGTCTGGGAGCAGTCCTGTACCAGGAAGTGGAAGGCAAATGTAAACCTGTAGCCTTTGCCAGCCAAGGATTGTCTGATAGTGAAACTCGCTATCCCACCCACAAGCTGGAATTTTTGGCCTTGAAATGGGCCATCACTGAGAAATTTCGAGACTACTTGTATGGTGCTCAGTTCCAGGTGTGGACAGACAACAATCCACTGACTTATGTGTTAACAAGTGCTAAGCTGGATGCTACAGGGCAGAGATGGGTGGCCGCCTTGGCTAGCTATGAGTTCAGCATTCAGTACCGATCAGGGAGAAGCAATGTAGATGCAGATGCATTGTCCAGGCGTCCGCAGGCTCCAGAAGTTGCTGTGATACCCACAGATGGAGTGAGAGCTATTTGCAGTGTGAGTCGCCGAGAGCCAGAGGCCCGTGAGGGCTTTCAGGGATGTGTTGCAGAAGCTTTGGGCCTGCCCCCTGAATGCATGCCTTCTGCTTCGGTGAACTATATTGCATTAGACCAATCTCCTTTGCCCATGCTCAATGCGGCTGACTGGCAAGAAGCCCAGCGGCAAGATATTGACATTCGTGATACACTACTTGCCAAAGGGAGGGGCGAAGCCCAGCTGCGGTTGTCCCACCTAACCCGGAGGGTAAACTACTATTGAGAGAATGGACCAAACTAAAACTGGTTCAGGGAGTGCTACACCGAATGACCACTGACCCTTTACAAAAACAACAAGCACAACTAGTACTGCCAAAAAAGTACAGAGCCCTGGCCATGAGGGCCCTGCATGATGACTTTGGGCATTTAGGGATGGAGAGGACCCTGGAACTTATTCGTAGTAGGTTCTATTGGCCCCGAATGGCTGAAGATGTTCGCAGGAAATGTGAGACTTGCGCTCGATGTGTTCAAAGGAAAACTCTGCCCACGAGGGCTGCATATCTCAAGAACATCACCAGCAACAAACCTTTGGAGTTGGTATGCATTGATTTCTTGTCTGTAGAGGTAGACAAGAGGAATGTTGGAAACATTCTAGTAGTGACTGACCATTTTACACGGTATGCACAAGCATATCCCACACGTGATCAGAGGGCCACCACCGTTGCTCGAGTATTGTGGGACAAATATTTCTCAGTCTATGGATTCCCGGCTCGGATACACTCTGATCAGGGGCGGGATTTTGAGAGTCACCTTCTGAAGGAGGTGCTGAAGATAGCAGGAATTAAAAAGTCTAGGACAACGCCTTATCACCCCCAAGGTGATCCTCAGCCAGAGAGGTTCAATCGAACCCTATTAGATATGTTGGGAACTTTGCGACCAGAGCAGAAGGCAACCTGGAGCCAGCATGTCGCATTTCTGGTGCATGCCTACAATGCCACAAAGAACGATGCTACGGGAGTCACCCCATATCTCTTGATGTTTGGGCGAGAACCAAGATTACCCATAGACTTGTGCTTTGGTGTATCAGAGGATGGAGATAGCTATGAAACTCATCAGCAATATGTATCCCGACTAAGAGAAAAGCTGCGGGATGCTTATCGCTTAGCTACCGCTGCGGCTCGGAAGAACGCAGACCGCAACAAACATCGATATGATGCTAGAGTGCGTTCACAGGAGCTCCAGCCGGGGGACAGAG